AGGCGGGGCGGGGGGCAATGAATGGAGAGTGCGGTCGGGCTAACTAAACCACAGCGACACGGGTCACGTCGGTCAACAACGCAGTCTTACTGAATGACCAAAGCCGAAGCGGGTGAGAATTTTTAATGGGGCAAAGTAGGAAATGTCACTACGCGTGTGTCTGCATTCTGGTCACCCCAGCGCCCTGCAGGACCCTCCTCCCTCACCTTACGCGCGCCGCGCCCGCCCCATGGATCGCCTTCCGCCGGGCTGCTGAGAGAGGCTGCGAGCCTCTGCCCACCGCACCCCGCCCGCTGCCTCGCGCCGGTGCCGGTGCCGCCGGCAGCAGCGGGTCCGGAGCAGGAGGGAGCCGGGCCGGGGAGTGGGGACGGGGAGGACCCGGCCCTGGCGGGGTCGGGAGGGGCGGCAGTATAAGAACGGAGGGAGGCCGGCGGAGGGACCACAGTGAGTGTCCGCTCAGCAGAAGCAGCCATGACCACGACAATGATGAGGGTTGCCGCCGTGCTGGCCGCCCTGGCGGCCGTCGCCGCCGCCGCGCCCCAGGTCAGCCGGAACGCGATCCAGTCCGGGGACGACCTCGTCGACTCGCTGTACAGTGACTGTCTGCAGAAGAACTCGGTGTCGTGTGTTAAATACAAGTTGTTCTCGTTCGTGGACAAGGTGCTGGGCGGCAAGGACAGCTTCAGCCTCGCCGAGGGTGTGACCGTCGTGCAGGCTCCCGTGCCCGCCGGCGGCGATGGCGCACCCCGCGCGCTTACCCCCGAGGACGCCGAGAGCCAGGACGTCGAGAGCATGCTGTCGTCGCGCATCAAGCGCTTCCTCGACACACACACCGTCAAGATCGACCTCAAGGGCAGCGACGTCCTCAACGCCGTCAACTCTGCGGGCCGCGCGCTAGGCGACATGGCCGACTCCCTGGGGCTCACCGAGCCAGAAGAGACCGGCCTGGTCGGCGAGGAGAGCAGGGGAAAGAAGAGTGAGTATCCAAGGGGTTGAGGGTGGTCGGGAGCACTCTAGCTGTTTGCGATGTTGTTGTTGTAGGGGGAGGGCGTGTGTGTGTGTGTGCCAGTGCTCAGAGCTCAAAGCGGATTCCCTCCCTAAAACTTCCTCTTTCCGGTCTGGCGCCGGAAGAGAGTGCTCCATGTGAGAGGGTTGTGCGCACGCGTAGCAGCCACGTGCCTGGGAGGCGCTTACGACCCCGAGGGGGGGGG